CCTCCCTCTCGTTTTTTAAACAACCGATTTAAATTAAAAAATTTTTAATTTTTATGGTATTTTTTCAATTATATTTTAGTTTCATCATAGAGATCCAGGGTTGGTTGGTCTGTTAACATCCGATCAAATCCCACCTGGAAAAACCATTCATTTTGGTATAATCGCCGATGGAATTCATACTCACCCTGCCGCACTGCGAATCGCTCATAGAACACATCCGGAAGGTTCGCTATTTATTATATACATCTATATTTTCTTATTTTACCATATGTGTTGTTACAATTTTAATAAAATTTAACTGTAAATATTTATAGGTCTAGTACTTGTAACTGATGCGATATCAGCGTTAGGTTTAGAAGAGGGAATCCATCAATTAGGACAGTTTAAAATAGAGATACGTAAAGGATGCGCATATATCGCTGAAACAAATACTTTGTGTGGTAGCATAGCCGAGTTTTCCAAATGCGTGAGACACTTTAAAGAAGCTACAGGTAAATTAAATTATAACAATAAAATCAGTAAATTGTATTTAGAGCCTGGATAATTCACCGACTAACTTATCGATTTGAGTTGACTGAAGCGTGTTCTTCATGATTCTCCTCATTGTCACTCATCCGAAGCTGTGATGCGCGACGACAATGAGAGATGAGGTGCAATGAGGAGAACTAACTACGATTGATGCAACTCAGAACTTTAATCCAGGATCTAATTATATTTATTTAATTTATTGATTGAATTATGTAAAATTTTCTTGTTTGTTGCTTGTGGTATATCTCTATCAAATGTAATACTTACTTAGCGATGTAATTATATGTAGATTGCACGATAGTTGAGGCTTTAAAAGCAGCGACTTTACATCCCGCGAGAACTCTTGGCATCGATTCTTATAAAGGTGTTTTGAATTTTGAGGCCGACGCTGATTTCATATTACTTAATGAAAAACTCGAACTATTGTCAACGTGGATTTCAGGAGAATGTGTTTACGAGAAGAATATTAACAGTTTTTTTTTTTGTGAAATAATTTGATGCTTGGATGTAAGTAGAAATCCTAATATATGAATTCAAATCAATTACTATATAAAGCAAATGGATATATTTTATTACTAGGCGCCATATAAAATGATAATGACAAAATCATGAGAAATATTGTTAATAAAAATAAATAAAAAGGCTTTTGAATAATCATAAAATCACTACAGCCATATTGAATTGTGACGTTAGAAGCGAGAAATAACACGTTAATTTTTATTACGTACCGTTTATAAATAAAGACAGTTTGGATAAAACAAAAGATGAGATTGTTTTAAAACGTTTGTAAAAATGGATGAAAATTATATTTATGCTTCCTGATAGTAAATAATCGCAAAAAGTAATAAAAAGTACATGTAAGTGAAAATGAGTTATGCGTGCGCAATAAATAAAGACTTTACTATCATTTATCATGTTTACGATTATTTGCTGACAATCTCACGGAGATAAGGATAGCTTTCTAATTTTTTATAATTGTTTTCAAATTGTCCCATCATTTGCGTTCAATTTAAATTGTCTTTATTTATAGATGGTATGTAACAAAAATTAACACGTGTCATTTATCGCTTTTACGTCATGATAGTGATGATTCAATATAGTTATGATGACTACTCAGGAGTCTTAAATTTTTTCCAGAAAATAACTTTATAGTTATACTGAAATTTGTATATATTTGTACTTTTATTTTTTATTTGTATAATAAATTTATTATTTTATTTAAAAAATAGATATGTTTTATATGTATATACATATATGTAATTATAGATGAATTTAAATGTATAATAATATTTTAATACAAGGACTCTTAATATAAAAATGATAATTGTGTAATACAAAAGAACTGGTAAGATTCAAATTAATAGAAATAATCTATCAAAAAATTCAAATAAAATAATGAAATATATTGATTTAATTATAAATTTTACTTTAACATTTGACGAATTAACATTACATGTTTTAGCTGTATGATTCAGTCCTCCTCAGATGTTCAACAATTATATAACATAAACCCACATATTATATTCTAAACTACAAAAGTGATATACATTAAAAACGCTATTTTGAAGAAAAACGATGCGATGGACATTCTGAACAAGATAAAATCGTCCTTGTTCAGCAAACGATTAAAAGACCGATTGAAACAGAGTTTCACCATGTCCTGATAGGAGAAAAAAGATTTTTTTGTATTTTGATTAAAAAATAAGGATTTAAAACAATACTTAGAGCATGTTAAGCTGTTAAAAACTCACCAAATTGTCTATTACATATCAATATCAAATAGATCGTCGAACGGTCAACATCTCGCAAACGTAATCAAAGTCAAAAGAGGTGGTCACAAAATGGTACACAAGTGTCAAAGATTAAAATTAAAAAATGAAAAAATAAGATTGCCGATTGTCGTAATGAGAATAGACACGTCTAACTTTCACGGTTGTCGGTATAATATTAAAATGAGAACTTTAATGATAAAAAAAGTAAAAACCTTGTTTATGATCGGAATATATGCTACGTATAATCCTTCTGTGTCTATCTGGAGATTAAGACCGTTTTTTTGCTTTTTGATATTAAACATTTCTGACACAAGACCTTTTTTGTAACAAAGTTAAATTTCTTCGTCTAGAATGTGAATGTTATCCCAATCAAAATCATGTCCCTGTTGTAGTCTATGATCAGTTATCGATTTGGAAGACATATGTTCCAACGTATATGATTACGATGTTCTTCAATACGTGTTTTCAATTGTCTTCCTGTCTGGCCTATATATGTTGCATCACAAACGTTGCAATTAGTTTTATAAACCACGTTAGATTTACAAATTGGAATCAATGGGTCTTTGTGTACTTTAATGTGTTTTTGCAATTTGTTAGTTAAAGAAAGAAACTCTGCTGTAGTTCTTATAAAAATGTTTGAACATTTCAATTAAAATAGGAACAAAAGGTATTGTGAATCAGGATGGAATGTTGGATGTATCAGTATTATTATTATTTTCAATAGTTCGCAAAATTCTGCCGTGTTTACTATGTTCTTAATTTTAATATTAACATTATCAAAAAATAAATTTAACAAGGTAATCATTTTTAATCAAAATATTGATTATCAAATTGATATTTTTTACATGAAAAACTTTATCTGATAATAGGAGTGCTTTGTCTTAATCCAATGACGCTTTTTTTTTGAGAAGACGGATGATTTGAATGAAAGTTTAAAAACTTCCCCGAGAGAAAAAGATGATTTATGATACCAATAAAAAATTCTCCGATTCTCTTTAATAATCATTGTGATATCTAAGAAATTCAACGATTTACCGCCTACTTCTAAGGTAAATTAAAGACGTGAATGGAAAGAATTAAATGCTGTCAGAAAGGACTCAATATTATAGGTGTAGAAATAGCCGAATATAAATCGTTTACATATCGATAATAAAAAAGTACCTTTGATTATTGTTGAACACCATCAGTGAAGGTCTTTCTAATTTTTGCATCACCAAATCTGCAACAATGGGTAACAAAGGCGATATCTCATGGGCGTACCAAAATTGTGTTTATAAGTCTTATTATCAAAAATAAAAAATAGTTTATAATTGTTTATAAAAAAAGTTTATATAGAACTTCTTTCTAACATCTCCCTCAGGTGTCTAAGGTAGGCTCCCACTACATTACCTTACTGATGAGTCTAGTAGTGGAAAGCAGGAAAGCCGGGACGAAACGCCAACTTGAGATATTCTTCGCAATCTTATTTTTTCATAGATTTTCTTTTATTATTTCTTTAACATTACATCTTTAGAATTTAATATGTCTTTCAACATATTATTAAGATCCAATAAGATGCTATAAGCATCAAAAATTGTAATATTACTACAGTAGTTAATTATATAGAATTGCGTTTTAAGTCCGAAGGATTTTCGGCGCGCTATTGGGGGGAACTACTTACGTAATATATAAAATTCACACTATAACATATCTTATATATGATCGCACTAATAACAGCGAATAGCTCTCATTAGCCGTTATATTCTTGTTATTTGAAATTTTCGAGAGCCTACTTTAATTGATTTGTTTAAAAATAAAAAAGTTGAATCCAAAATGAAACAAACAGTTATCATGAATTCGGATTTAGGCACTACACTTTTGTTAGATACATTTAACCAATTATTGTTAATGCATTCCATTGCTAATTCTATTGGAGGAAGGTCAACGATACCGATCGACATACTACTTTGTTTTTAGACTATATTTTTTAGACAAAAGCAGAAAATAAATCTTTGAAGATATAAATGTGAACTGGAAAGTGTCTTCTATCGATGCTCTATAGCAATTTTTATAATAGATACTATTAAAATAATATGTATATAACAAGGCTCAATAAATTTAAAAAATAATTAATATAAAATAGGGCTACGAGCCAAATATTAGTTAAAATATAAAGGTCTTAGTAATAAACAGTCATAAATTAAAAATAAATATAAAATTTAATAAAATTCAAAAACAAACGTTTCGACCTTAATTAGGTCATTCTCAATGTTAAGAACTATCGTTAACAATGTACAATGATATTATAAAAATTAAAGTGAATACATAATCAAATACGAAAAAAACATGTATAAAAATTCTGTAATATGGGTATTTTAAATCTCACTCGCTATTGAAGACATAATTATATCGGCGCAAAAAGTCGAGAGTCCATCAAAAAAGCAAGACATCAAATAATGTAAATTGTGACTCCACATTTCTAAATAAAATAGTAAAAAAAAACAATGTCAGTAATAGATAAAAATAATAAAAAAAGAGAAGAAATATAAAGAAAAGAATATAATAAAAGAGTCAATTAATCAAATGGTAATAACAACAATATCAGTAATAGATCAAAATAATAAAAAATATAACGAAAAGAATGCAGTATAAACGAAAAGAATATAATATAAAAGTCAGTTAATCAAATAGTAATAAAAACAATGTCAGTAATAGATAAAAATAATAAAAAAATAAATATAACGAAAAGAATACAATATAAGAGTCAATTAATCGAATAGTAATAAAAACAATGTCAGTAATAAATAAAAATAATAAAAAAATAAATATAACTATTTATACTATTAAGAATTTTGCAATAATTAACTTTTTTATCGAATAGGCGAAAACGAGCGTCAGACAAAATGGGCCCCTTCTTCTTCTTATTAATTAATGGCTCCTGCCTCCATAGAGTGAGCGGAGGCAATACGGCCAGATCACGTCTAATTGTCTTTTCGTCTTATGTATAACAATAGCGAGTGATGCAATGCCCGCGAAAATGGCGTTGCTCGAACGGTCACCGGTAGAGAACCTAGAGGTTCTCTAGTCACCGGGCGCCTGCGTCTACGGCGTCGTCACACCGCAACAACGCGCGTCAGGAGTCCTAGTCGACGAAACGCCGAACAATCGAGACGAGCCCATCCGCGGACACCCATCCATGGGATTCAATTCTTCTTCTTCTTAATTTAGTTGGCCCAGGTTCCGTTATGAAATCGGATTAACGTGGCCAGTCATACCCAAAAAGATATATATGTGAGTCAACGCACAGTCAAAGTCGGCAACACTTTCAAAAATTGCTGATGCAATGACCGCGAGAATGGCGTTGCTCGACCGGTCTCCGGGCGCCTGCGTCTACGGCGTCGTCACGCCGCAATAACGCGCGTCATGAGAGCCCAGGTCGTCAAAAGGTGCAAATGATGAACAATCGAGACGAGCTCAACCGCGGACACGCATCTGTATGATACAATGCACAGTCAAAGTCGGCAACACTTTCAAAAATATACAATGAAGAGCACCCGAACCGAAACGCGTCCGTAACGGTCGGATGGTTCGTCGGAACTGATGGGATTTAATTGCTCAGTCGAAGTCTTCTTCTTCTTCTTCTAAATTTAAATGGCCCAAGTTCCGGAGTGACCGGATAAACGTGGCCAGTCGTTTCCAAGACACCACCAACTCTCCACAGGAGGTCCCCAAAAAAGGAAAAGGATGATTTCTTGAGAGACTAAGGGCCAATTTCACCAACGTCGGTTGAGCTAACCGACGGTTAAAGTGTCAACCGTGATTGGTTCA